GGTGTGGGTGGGGAGGAGGGCGCCGGGGGTCGCGGGGGGGGGGGGGCTTAGCTTTCAAGGCATACGTCCACACTTCACTTGGCTCTTTGGTCTTTTTGTATTTGTTAAATTTGTCCTCAGACTGTAGAGAGACATAAAAATCAAACTAGCCTTCCTTAAGGCTCTTCATCCAAAACCACTAACGTTTCCAAAGGCACGATGATGCTCCCTCTACTGGTCGCACCATTTATGGATCGCACTGCGGGGTCTGAGGATCTGTGGGTCTTGTCGAGTGTGGCACTTAGAAGCTGTGGAACGTAACTGCTCTACTTCAGTTTGCCATTTCTTATTCTGCTGCTCTCTGGAATATGAGGTGATGCATTTTTAAAACTCCTAATTGATTTTGTACTGATATAGCCAAAAGAGCTGCTGGCTGTTTGGACTGTTGATAATTACTTCAAAGCATGTCTTGCTGCAAGAAATGTCATCCTTCTCCCCCACCTCCACTACGTTTCCTAACCTGCTCACTTCATATTTCCCTTTGGTCTCCCACGTGCCTGCAGCAGAACGCCCGTTGGCATTAATTAATTACATGAGTCATAAATAGCTCCAGGCTCCTTAGCAGAGAAGCCCAACCTCAGCCAGTCACTGATGCGTTCTAGCATGACCTTGCAAGGATGCGCCAGTTCTCTCCCAGCCCCCATTCTATATACATTATTTATCTTCTTCTGTTCGGAGAGGTTGCCCTCTCGCAAAGTGGCTTCATTAACTTCTGCAATAGGATCTAAACGACAGGCTGTTAATGAACGTGGCTGCAGTTAGGCAGGCTGGTTTGCAGGAGCTGTCCCCGCGTACCTAGTGCAACGTGCTGGGTGCATGTTTCCCGACTCCGGGACTCTGTAATAGCTGTGTGGCGTGGCAGTGTTCCCGCTTGGAAAGCCGACAGAGCAAGGCTACTGCTAGGAGGCCGTCACGTCAGAAGACTTGTTTTTAGCCGCTTTCGTTGCTGTTGTGCAACTAAGACCGTGGCACTCTTCAGCCAAAGTGGTCAGCTGTGTTTAGCAGAGGGCAGAACCTGAAATACCAAAGCACGGCATGTGACGGGGATGCCTTGGTTTTGCTGTTAGAGTCTCAGGCTCCCGCGCGGTCACAGTTGACGTGTGCATGCAGATGCCTTGGCAGTACATGTTTGCTGATAGCATGCCTGCGTTACCCTAGACTCCAGCTGGTATTTTGCTTTCAGCAGAACTAATCAGAATTTTATTTAATAATCCTTTGTTCTACCCATTCCACAGAGTTAAACATACACTCTGATTTGTGCTAATAAATGGTTACGCAGGCCGGTACCCTTCCCACACTGCTCAGAAAATAGATCCTGTAGGATGAGTTGCGTTTATGAGTATAAAATACTTCTGTCTTGAGGAATATCCATGAAAAAGGCTCCGCCGTCTAATTGGTTCTGAAAGCCCAGGGGGAGCCTGTGCCCAAACAGCTGAGTGATTTGTGTCTCCCAGTCAAGTGCTAGACGCTTTAGCTTCATACTTGTCTCATCTAGTCCCAAGAAGCTGGGGATGCTTTATAAACCACTTCATACAGAGCAGTATGTGTTTGGTTTTTTCCTAGGGTGGCTAGTGGTTGGTTGATTGACTCCTTTGAACAGCCAAGTCATGTACTAAACTCTTGGCCCAGTTGGGAACAAAGTGGAACATCTCTTGGAGAGCGGACGGAGGGGGAAGCAATATGCAAATGAAAGACAACGGCCCCTTCTTCCATGTGAGAGAAAGGTAGATGGCCTTGAGTAGATGCTGACTCAGCAGCCTCTCTGCCTTTCCTCCTGGGCCACAGTCGTGCTGCAGCCCTGCGTCGCTGCTGGCCGAGTGATACAGAGGCAGCTGGGGCGGCTGCGTGCGTCTCCAGAGGCACAGGTTGGCTGCCTCTGGCCTGAGACTTTTTTTTTTCCTTTTTTTTTTTGGCCATTAGTGAAAATGCCAAGGCTGTGGCGAATGCCAAGAAAACAGACCATGCCCGGTAAAAGGGTGGCTTTTGCCACATTCAAGCAAGAGGGAAGGAAGACTTGTGTGAGCAGAAAGGTGAACCCTGCCACTTAGCACAAAGTCGTGCATTAACAGCTTATGAGATTAAAACTCAGGGGGCAGCTATTGAGGTACAACAATGCAAAGCCACGTGTATTAGCTTCTGCGGCTGCTAGAGGAGCCTTTAAGCTGAGAGGCAAGAACGGGAGCCGGATCAGTCGAGGCAGTGACACTCGTTGCCTTGCACTGGCCCAGCAGTGGGAGCAGAGCGGCAGGGCAGACAGCTGCAGAATGGCTCTTGGAGGGCTTTTAGGGCAGGCGAGGCATAATTCAGTGAGGCTTCTTCTCTTTTGGGACCTCCGTACAGGGGACTAAATTATGGGACTGTATCTGCTTTCACTTGCAGCAGGGGGGAAAGTATGTTTCCTGAGTGATGCACAGAGCCAAGGTGAAGAACAGTTCGGAGCAAACAAATCTGATAGAGGTCTCCGGTATCGTTTTTATCTTGCTGAACAAGACTAGTGCAGTGCCTGTGCTGCACTGTAGTAGTTCAGTTTAAGTAAAGCACTTGATGTGGTGCCTTATAGAAACCCTCAGAATACCCCGGACCCAACACCTAGTTAAACAAATTAACACCTGCCCCTGCGTAGAGTCACCCTGACTAATTCCACTTTCAGATAAGGGATGTCTTTTGTGTTCTGCAGTCATTGGTACCCGGCCTTTCCTGTGTAACAAAATTAAGGAGACGGAGTCTTTTCCCATTGTATTTCTAAACCAAGATGAAATCAAAAGGCCAAAGAACCCGTATTAGGTGAGACAGAGACTGGCAAATGTTCAGAAAGGAGGTGCAGGCTTTGTTACCCTCGGTGGGATGATAAAGGCATATATCCAAACTAGGAACGGCAGCTTGAAGAAGCACGTAAGGGGAGATGGCTGTTTGGAAAGTTTTGAGTTAAAACAGAGGGGAAAAAAAAAAAACACTGCGTAAGAACAGACTGAATAAGAGATTGTGGCGCAACATCACTGTGTCAGAAATAAGCCAGTGCTTTCCTCGCATAGGTTTTAAAGAAGAATCAAAAGCAAAAATGAAAGGCCGTAATGTCGCTTTGCAGAGGAGAGATTTTTGCGTTCAGTTCTGATCCTGCCATTATCGAGGGATACTGAAATAACAGAGGGGGCTCAGCAGCGTGCAATTAGAGCGACAGTGGGATGGGAGGATGTGACAGTTGAGCAGATGAGACTGGAGATCAGGGTTTGTATGATCTTGGAAAAGGAGATTAAATTGGGGTTGCCGTGAAAATGCTTTCCTATGAATGACATTCTTCAAGAAAAAGGCTTATTCACGTTATTTGCATACGGTGAAACAGGAATCTGAAGTGGCATTTGAGAAATCAGACTAGACAATAGGGGGAAAATAGCGTTTTTGGAGTGTTTGGGCCTTGGAGCAGAGTGACGAGGTGGCGCTGGAGGTATTCAGAAAAGGCTGAGACCTTGCACTGAGGAGACTGCAGTGCAGGAGGTGCACAAGGTCTGGGCTGACTTGCTTGCATGTGGCAGAGATCCTTCTCGTGACC